CTGAGCATAGATACTCAGCAAGCTGAGATTGGTACATTTAGATTTTGTGACTTCCCTGCCATGCAAATTCATGTGATAAGATCATCGAAAGCATCGAAAAATGTGCACCAGATTCATCTTATCACATGAATTTGCATGGCAGGGAAGTCACAAAATCCAAATGTACCAATCTCAGCTTGGTGAGTATCTATGCTCAGCATATACACTCAGCTATCTGTCATTGACTGTTTAGATTAGACAATAATTGCAATTTTCAACACATTTTCCAACATTCTCCAGATTTTATTCTCCAGTTTGTTTTTTTTTCTGATTCTGGAAGATAACTTCATCTCGACGAAACGCTCGAACAATTTGTATTTCGAATGCGGTAATAACTGAAATGCATAGAAAATATGAGACGGAGAGATGGGGAGAGAGAACGATTAAGATAGAGAGAAAGACAGAGAGGGGAAAGAGAGTAAGAAAGAAAGAACGAAGGACAAAAAGAAAGCAAACGAGAAAGTTCAAATGAAAGAAGTTTATGAAATGTTTCAGTAGCTTCAGTGCTTGCACCAAAGAAGTCATCTGTTGAGGTAGGCGAACAAAAGAAAAAAAAATTCCCCACTGAGTTGTGCAGTATTATCACTACGCAGTTTTTTAATGATGACATAAGGCGCTGACACAATTCGTGTGTGTACTTCCAAGGGAGTTTGGTCGGAATATATTTTTGTCTAGGCATAAAATGTTCAAAAGTCTTAAAGTTTCATTAAGAAAATTTTGCCGCATATTCCGAAATTAACTGGTCTTCGTCGAAAGATTATTCGTGAGATGTAATACACTGTGTTCCACAAGGATGGTGTTTTTCCTCTCACTCTCTCTCCCTCAACACAATTTATAGGCAAATGCAACGGTATAATTCCTTATTATGGTTGTTGTGTTGCTAATAAGGTGCTAACTTTTGAATTGTGCTAATTGATTTGGGTTGACGTTTTCTCAACAGGCCATAAATTATATTTTTGGGTCACATCCGACTGCACAGCGCGCTGTAATACAGACATGGTTCGATGGAAGAGACATATTTTTTTGCATAGCAAAGTGAATTAAATTATTATTGTAATGAGATAAGTTCGGTTAGAGTGAGTCTGATTTTCGGTGTGTCTATATATTACATGTAGATCACCAGATTGTGACTTCATCTTATTGATTCCATTCAATCAAATGGGCAGTCGGGCTTGTCGAAATTGCTAAATTTCAACTAACTTCAAGGATTTACATAATAAACAACATGTAATCCGAAAACAAACAAAACATCGGATCTGTATCGGATTTAATGACCACAAATAACACACACAACCAACTGTATATAGTGGAAGGGAAAGCCGAAAATCATCATGTCAAATGAAGCTTTGAACATAGATACATACACACATTTTATGATGCTTCATGACCAATATGTTGTACACACGAGTTCCGCATGTACAATGTACGTTCTCTTGCATTTTAACGATATTTTACGGTCGGAGCGGATAAGCTGCTAGTTTCTGTTGATATTTCCGTTTCTCACTCTTTCTCCGTGTGCAGAAGGGTCATTAAAATGCTCTCTCACTCTCTCGTTTCCTTGCATCGGGGGAGAAAAAAATCATCAGCATGGTGTTGCGTTGAATGTGAATGCTTTTATGATTTTACTGTCTCCGCTCCGCGTAAATGCGGAAAATTTCATTTCGTGTGCAAATGCAAAGATAAATGTACACACATGGATCCGCGCTTAACTATCGACAATAGTAGCGCCCATCAATTCTATAATCCTTGTGCATGTCCCATTTGCCATATCATAAAGCAAACAACACACATCCAACTGCACGATTCCATTTTTATGATCGTAGTGAGCATCATCAACGATGACCTATTCCAACGCCATTGTGACATCAATTCGTAGCAAACGCAAACATGGATGCGCGTGTTTGTGATTCTGTATGTGTGTGGTGTTTTATGTTTTAGCTACCACTTGGCCAAATGCAATTTGAAATCCGAGCAAATATGCAACACAGACGATTATTTAGCACTGTAACCATTTACCCAATTGAATGGCGAATATCAACCTACAAAACTTTTCCGCTCTCGTTCGGAACATATTCAAAATGCACAAATACGTGATATCGTGGAGATGAGTTGAAAAATCCATCAGATGGCAGCAAGATCGAAAACAACTTAAATGATAATTGTAGCGACGCGAACGCCCTCAATTTCAATAGGCGAATCAATGTAATTTCGGAATTTTTTCCCGAACTAAACAGCGCGACAATTTGAATTTTCTTGATGCTGCCATCCAATGGAAAAATCCCATCGATTCACTTGATTCCTCATGAAAACAAGGATCAATGGTAAAATCAACGAAAAAATTTACTCCGATATAAAAGAATTTAATAGGAAACAAAATCGCAAATTGAACAAATAAAAGAGAGTACCATTCAATTGCCCAGAAAAAAATCAACAGTTTCATTGATCCATACCAATTTTTTTTATCAACTTTGATCGCTTTTTTCGATTTCATATGTTAAAAAATTCCACCACTTTTGTTCGTTATCCGTTTTTATTCCTCCTATTCATTGAACTCTCACGAAGTTTTGTTTTTCTCTTTCCATTTCGTCCACTGAGCACTCGATTTGTGTTTTTGAAATTGCATCGCATCGTTCACTTTATTTCAATCATAAATTGAATTGCACACACACGGTTGCCGACTTTAAACAGCTGCTGTTGAATCAACACAGTTCAAGCATTGTAAATTTTATATGAGAATTGTCTCATTTCAAGTGTTTCTCATTTGCTTCAAATTATTTATGCTGTGCGAATCAGTCGGGGTTGAATTTACTCGGGCTGCATGAATTTGAGGTATATGCGTGTGTGCGTACGTGTTGTTTTCGAACTCAACTCAAAATTAACGGCATTGTAAATGTGTCGGCCCATTCGCATTGTCACTCTATATGAAAATGCAATGCATTGTATATTTTAAGTGGTCATTCTTGGTATTTTTCGTTGCTACAAACTCGTTCTCACTCATCGCTCCCTCTCTCTCTCTCTGTGTGTGTGTCGTCTTATGTCATTTTGCTGCAAACCGAAGTTGAAAACATGTGACCACGTTGCATACTATAAAATACCAATTTACACTACGTAGGCGAAATGAGTAAACATGTTGTTTATTAAACACTCGAGTATTGTAAATTACTCTTTCATCTTTCTACCGGAACTCAGCCGCACACTTGTTTACAATCACTCTTAGTCGGGCTTTCCAAAGTGTTTTTATTTACGTAGAACATGACATAAATAAAATATTAAAAGCAGTTTTTTTTTCGTTTATTCTCAGTTTTGAGATGGGATTTGCCGAAGGTTTACTAGAACTTGATCGCTTCGATGAAACGAATGTTGATGACAATAAATCGTTTCGTTGATTAATTTATTTTATTAAGATTATAATCGTTTCGTTCTTTGGAATTAATGTTCATTGATTCTATGAAACGAATGAAAGACCGTGGAATTTTTCTGCAGAAAAAGACAGTGCCAATGATTATTATCCGTGTATAATTCGTCGAAATTGAAAGAAAAAAAAAGCCTTCAAAGAGTCATCGACGATGGTTACTATTGATAGTTCATTCTTGTTTTATTTAGAGGCTCACATCCCAATTTGCCATTCTGTTCTCCGGCAAAATTTGGTGAACTTTTGGTTTGTTATCAAATCGGTTATGCCTTCACTTTCGTATTGATTTTAATATTAATTTGTAAAGTGTCATGATTATGTGTATTTTTCGCTGTTCAGATAAAGATGAAGAGAAAGAAGACTGGTGAAATGAATGGCGAATGGCATAGTATTTATTCAGTCCGGTAGAAACGACATTGCATAATTTGTGTGTGATTAAACCGGTTTTTTTATTCGAACATCTTCCACATACATATGCAGTAGTTTTATTCATGTCACTGCAGTAGCAACGGTCATATCTTCAACTTAGTCGATTGTATCTTTGGGCATCATAAACCCATCACAAGACCTTGACCACACCATCGGTGAAATGGCTTGAGTGTGGCTCGTAATAAACAAGAGAGAGAGAGAGAGAGAGAGAACGAGATAGCGTCACTTCGTTGATTAGTTTATTGTGTGTGCGCGCGCACGCAAATTCAAAATTCAATAAATGCCCATATATAAAATATATGTGTTTATAATGCCGTTCGATAAACAAAGCAAAAACAAAGCAAAAAAAACCATGAATGAAAAGCATCGTCATCGTACGCAATTGCAGTGTGATGATAATGACGCACACACAATTTTTGGCTTTATCGCATTCGGGCATGAATGATGCTAATTTCATGGCAATGGGATTTTAATTACGAATTTATGCAAGTGCGTCTAATTTTGCTCTCTCAATCGATCCGACCGCCCGCAATTTCATTAATTGCATGTGAGTTCTACACCCGGTTTCATTTGAATCGTGACCCATTCGGATGTGTGTGTGTGTGTGTGTATGTACTGTACTCATACACATTGGTCGTGATTAAGTTATCGTTGAGTGCATTTCATTTGAAAGCATCTCGTCAGTTGTTTTTTTTTTCGTTGCATCTCTTTAACTTTTGACCTCAGGAATTTCTACGGATTATGCAAATGGATGCAAAAGAAATAGACAGAGAGAACGAGAAAAAACCTAACACGGGACGATAAAAGGGAAGAAGAAAGAAAATGTTTAAAAAAAAACACTTCGAGGTTTTCCGTTCTCTGATATTGCGCACCTGCTTGTGATGATGCATTTGACTGTATATAATTGTCATCAATATCATTGTGGATGTGTTATTGACGATCGACGACAACGACACACGGGCATTTATGAGCTGAAGCGATTACGTTTTAATTTACTGACCATTTTGTGTGCCAATGTGAAACCGATATATTTTTAAGTGGATGTTGTGTCCGTACGATTGTTCTGTACCGCCGTCGCTGCCATCGCTGTGCTATTTATTGTGTGTTTTCGACTCAACTCGGGCTCGCGGCACATTGTATAAATTCATTGGAGTGCAAATAGTAAAGCATCAGTTGGTTGTGTGTTCATTGTTGCTCACATCTCTCATTCGCTCCGCTGCTTGAATCGCAAAGAAGAAAAACAAAAACCCAAATAGAGAGACATACACCGAGAGACAAAAACCGAAAAAAAATGAAAGTGCTATTGATTGCTGTTGTTGTTGTTATCGGTAATGACCATAACAGTGTTATTCACCAAGTGAGAGGATGTCTATTTAATCCAATTGTTCTTTGTTTTTTTTTCCGTTTCGGTGGGTCTGTAGGTGCAGCGGTGGTAATTATCGATTGTGCAACATTGCCGTCGAAAACACATCAACGTACTGGAGACTACGACGAACATACATGCCCACGTCGATGTTCCGAAGCATACTATCCACTGTGTGGTATCAATCAAGCCGGTGACACGAAAGTGTTCGTCAACGATTGTTATATGTCCATGGAAAATTGCAATCAATTGGCTCAACAAGGTATCTCAACCCCGAACAATCATTTTCCCTATTCAACCACCATCGGTGTTCAATTCAATTGCACAATTTGTGCATTTTCTTTTTCTCTTCTTGCAGTTTATCATCCAACCGACGAATCGGATTGCCCCGACTTCGATGAGTGGATCAGTGAAGACAGTATTCGACAAAAACTTAACATTTAAACTTTGCGTAAAATTAGGAATTGAATTTAAACAAAGAGAAAGCGAAATTACGATGAAAATAAAGTTTTGAGTAAATTATTTGAATTATTATACGGTAAAACGTGCAATTTTTCTTCTAAACTTCTACGATTTTCTCTTTCCTAAATCATCTAACATGTTCACCTTTGAATAGCAGCTAATCACCAATTACTAACCCAATCACCACTTTAGAAATATCGTTATAGTATGTGTGCACTTTATTATAGAGGAAAAAATGTTTTATTATGAATAGTGCGATCGTGTGAAAATTCGCATTGAACTGTAAAATTGACGTATGGATCGAAGGTAGACAAATATTCCAATTATTACTTTTTCAATCATGAAAATTCTGTGAAATTGCGGGATTTTTTTGTTTGTCTTCTTCTATCTCCCCACGCTGTGCTTCCACGCAAAAACTTTCTTCGTGAACAGATTCATATCTTCATAGTCAGTCAAACGCATTCGTTTGAATTGAGTTCGTGCAACACGAATCTCTCGCACAAATGAAAGCGATAATAGCATGGGAATCGTTCTCAGCGAGAGAACGTACAAGCGAATGATACGAACGAAGCGAAAACAACAAATGTGTTCATGAGTGCCGAACGCAAGCACTGGCATTAAAATGCCGTATTGCAACACAAGCGAGTGTGAAATGTACGTGTGTGTATAAATTGGTTGCATGATATTATCCAGCATATTTTTATTTGTTCAACAGGCTTTTTGTAGTTTAATGTTGGAGCTCCCGTTGGAACGTTGTTAAATGGATTCGGTTCCATCGTTAGACTTTCGCGCGCCATTATTCTTTGCGATGAAACAGATTCTTTTGTTTGAGAAAATTGTGTGTGTGAACAATTGGAAAAGAGAGTGGGAGAGAGAGAGAGAGAGAGAGACTGGGAGGAAAAGGGATAAATAGAATGCCAGCTGACAACACCTGGTAATATCCCATATCCAACCTGACACGCACATAATTCCAATTATGCGGCATGGAATCCAGAACATTTTCGAATTTCAACCTGTCTGTTGCAAAAGCCCTTCTTTGTTTGATCGATGACTATTTATCTTATATCAAGCGAACTTAATCACGAACACCATTTCCAATGTGGCAATTGCATGGCTAATATTTAACTATTTTATTTAGCATACGCATCCGAACTGCCAAACATAAACATAAAGACGAATTATATCCTAATTGAATGTGTGCAATACTGATAAAGTGATGAGCAACTGTCAACTGAATCTGCCTGGTATTATTCTCTTAACCACATAAGCCTTTCATATTCAACACACACACGCGTGCACAGTGCACACACATACCATTTCGGATTGAATTCGACAAATGACAAAAGTTTTCGAGTTTAATCACTTTCACTTGAAATAGCAGCACCAACGAACAGCAACACCATTCATGGGTGCATAGAGTATTCACGCATGACGTCAATCAAACACAACGTCAAGCATTATTCGATCTAAATGACAAAGTCAAATTAAGTCATTCAATATTAAAGGCTTCATCTAATTACACTCATTTGGATTCATCATTTACTTGGAATTGCATACATTTGATGCCACTTTTTTTAGCGCTCTTCATCCCATTGGTTTGCCGCTTTCCGGGAATTTATGGTTAATTTGTCAGCAAAAAAGACTTCCTTACATTTATTTATCATTCGAATTTTATTTTGCATTGGTCCGATAATAGGATTGGGTAAGTTAAAAATATGGTGTGCTTAAAAATAAATGTTAACGGGGATGACTGCTCGGGCTTCTTTCGCTGACAGCTAAAATGCTTCAATTGAATGGTTTAATAAAGTGAAAATTATACATATTATTTGCATAGCAAAACATAGCTATACACAAAAAATATAATGAACACGACGAAGCAATTAAAAACAAAAATATTCCGTAACCATTTTTTTGTTCGCACTGGTTCATATCCACACATAAGTCAAGAATAGTTGAGATATTCAGTATAATTGATTTTTCGTCGTAAAAATAATCCAAAATTAAGCAATCTAAGACAAAAAATATTTTCCTCCATACAAATTTTCTCTAACAAATAAATGTTGTCTTGGATTTCTTAATTTTGGATTATTTTTGCGACTATTCTTCCCTGTGTGTGTGTGTGTGTGTGAGTATTCATATAAATACAAGTAAAAAATACCCATATAAATCGGTGTATAATTGTGCATATTCCACAATATCAAATCAATGCTCAAAAGAGCAGTTATTTTCCACATTTTCTGGTGCTGTGGACGAAAAAAAGACCAGGAGGACGACAGTCATAGGGTTTAACCTTTAAATGATTTTTACTTCTTTAAAATTGTGTAACCAATTTGATTTATTTGTTCATTTTAAGAACAAAAGGAATAATTTTTTTATGCGGATGAAATAATTCAGGAAGTCGTCGTATCGTGTTATGATTAAATTAAAGGATATATTCATTTCCAGCATCGCAAAAATAGTTTGGCTGAAAAGAGAAACGGTTAAATATATGGACGAAGTCAACGGAAATCCTTAAGATATTGCAAACGGCAGACTCAGTGGTTATACATATACGTAAGTAATGTTTTGAATAACAGAAATAAAAACTCGCTTAAAACATATGAAAGAATTTTCACTCAGTTTCTGTTCTATATTTGATCTGGAAATGTTGAATCTCATGAACAGTTCAGTTCATGTTTGACAAAATGAGATTTTTAACTGTCGATTTCGTGTTGATTTTGCTTTTGATCAATGAATTGTATATTCAGGCAAAACCGGATAGCTGTCTTAAGATTGATGGTGAATTAAATAGCAAAGACTTTGAATCGCGATATTATGCTTGCAATACATCGATGGACATACATCTTATCTGTGAACCCAAATAGTCGAAATGTGACAGGGTTGAAAGTTAAGAACTGTCGTGCCCAATGGATTGAATACGAATTCATTTTGTATCAACAAGTGCGCACGTTGGACATTTCGTCTTCAAATTATTATCAGACATTGTCAAATCATATTGAATGACTTACATTTGAATTTCGAACATTTGGAGCGGTTGAATGCATCATACAACGATTTAGAGGAAATCCCTGAATATCTATTCTATAATAACACAAGACAATTGACGGAAGTGGACTTTTCACACAATAAAATCAGCGAATATCATGAAGTTACTTTTTCAAAAAGTCATCTTTGATCACATCTCCGCGCATTGGAACTTTCTGAAAATTTCATCGGAACATTGGATCGCAACACATTTGAAAATAATCCGTTTTGGAACCTAAATTTGTCAAACAAAAACCTAGAACATTTCGATTTGAATCCATTGAGAATAATGTATTTAGATATTCCACGAAACGAATTGATTGAATGTGATTCTACTGTCGCATACATTGATTGATACGATTTAGAAAATACTGCTGAAATCATACAAAATCTGGGACGGAATCTTGAAATTCTGGATCTTTCCGGAAGCTACATTGGAAGATTGAATGAAACTGTATTTGAAGAGGTGGTAATATCTACGATTTCGCTACGACGAACAAATTTATCGATTTCTGATTTAAAACCGTTCGAAACTCTTTTTTCTGATTTGAAGTACCTGGATATTTCCAGCAACAGCCTAACAAAATTGAATTTCCCTACAACCCAAAAATTTGAGAAACTTACTGAAATTCACTTGGGCGAAAACCAATTCACGCAATTGGATGGACTTAATAAGGATACATATCCAAGTCTTTTAAATTTGGATATCACAAATAATAAATTCAATTGCACATATCTCTCAGTTTTCAAGAAAGAATGGGTAGAATTACAGTTGATTGGTGATCCATGCGGTCAATTTAACAATGAAACCGAAAACAAAATTGATGCAACTATAACAACTATGCGAAGCGAAAGTGAAGCTCAAAATCATCTTACAACCGCTCATGAAACATCTGCGACAAGTTCTTTCCCCGTCCTTTTGTATACTCTTCCAATCGGCGTGAATGTTCTAATCATCACTAGTAGCGCCGTTGCTTTCTTCATTCGCCGAATTTTTTTTTTGAAAAATCGTGGCCAAACGGATGTTCCTAACCACCGAAATGGCAATGGTATACAAGAACTACAATCAGAACCAACGCCAGAGCCAGAAGAAGAGTAAAATCCGGAAGATCACATTTACGAGGAAATCGAAGAACTAGAATATGTTTACGATCACCTGAGATTCGAGTTCGACCCCATGCCGATATCAACTGAAAACCAACACTATCACAACTTTACTCTGGTCATTCGTGATCGTGGAACTCAATCTTAAAACGTAATTTTCATTTTATGTGTTAGAACTCACACCTAAAACAGAACAGATTCATGATTAAAAAAAAAAAATTCAGAGAAATTGGGGCATGCATGGCTTCTTGGACTAAGAATATGAAACTCTTTCAATTTGCTACTAAGTCAATGGAACTGTATTTTTATATAACTTTTTGCATTTGAAAATGATTCATTTTAAATGAACAAAAAAATAAGAAACAATCGGAAACAAATAAAAACTTCGTTGATTTCGCAATTTTGATGCAGTCAAAATATCATTTATGGGTTTAATTTTCAAATTTCGCATTGAAATGAAATGTCTTTGATTAAAGTAGTTTTGAATTGGAAGAGATGAGAAAAATTTTTCGATTTGAGATAGCGTCGATAGTTGACAAAAAAATTTAGCTAAATATATAACACGCACAAATATTGGCCAATTGCACAAACAATGTATTTTCATTTTTTATGCATTAACTGTCAATTTTAACTCATAAAACATTGATGATTTGCCATTGACAAGAGATATCGTCTATGGCCAACCGCGAAAGTTGGGCTGATAAATCGAATGATTCATTTGACTTTGTCATTAAGACCGAATGTTCAAGTTGCTCTTTTGTGATCGCTTTTCCATATAAAATGCATGAATGTTGAAATGTGTATTGAATAAGGAATGGAATTCAATCAAAAGTCAACGTTTGCATGGTTTTGTAGTAGATTTTATTTAGTATAAAAAAATGATTAAATATATTTAGTTGGTGTGTGTTGCAACGCCTCGGCTGTTGTTGTTCCGGTTTATTACTAGTGTGAAGCCATATTTCCCTTACCAGTCTCCGCTGTCTGGACAGATTTCAGGTGATGTTTCGTAATAAACTGTTCCAAAAACATGGAAAAATTTGGAAACCTCAATTTTGGTGGTTCTATTCATATAACCTTCTCATTATCATTATTATCGTAAATTTGTTTTCTTTTTAACGAATTTTCAACCAAGAAAAGAACTGCTTAAATTTATATTTATATTTCTTTTTGGTTTCATTTGCTTTGGAATTGCTTGATTTGATTTCTATTTTGCATTTTCATGTAACAATAACGAAATATTGATCATGTATCGAACCTTCATTTTCTGGTTTATTGCAATTCTCCATCCACATGGAACATGAACTTGCGAACATTTGTGTGGCTCCGTCATTTGTTTGGCCGCAAACTGGATGGTACACTCTATGGCAATGACTAGGACAATTCGGTTCGTTAGATTCGTCAAAGAATACCTCCTTGTTCATATCGGATGCACAATACACAATCGCCAAAAGCCCTGCATCAAAACCGAAATGAAAAACAAAATAACAAAAAAACGAGAAAAAAAATGCTCTACAGAATCGGTCATCAAAAAGTTTCTGATTCAAAGCGCGCACACAGTGGTACGGAGAGAACAAATTCGAATTTTTATTATTATGTAGTACAAATGCAACCAACCGGAAATGGTAAGAATAATTTTTAGCATCTTGAGGATATAATTTTTTTTCCTTCTTTTGCTGCACTGAAAAAGACTTGATGTTGTTTTTGATTGTTTTGCAAAGGTGGAACTGGATAGAGTTAACCACAAAACCACCTGCTTTTATAGTAAGCACTCACCGACGAAAATATGGACAAGAAAAAACAAGCAATTCGCATGGTTTTATCATCAACAAACAATACCCGAAAAAAAAACCAGACACTGGAACGAAAGTTTATTATTTCAAGTCATAATTAGATTAGTCGGTGCCATGTTGTCTATGTGCACCAAGTGTATGAAGAGCTTCAGTATATGTGAGCCATGCTCACTTTGCTAATCACACTTATAGAGGGAAAGAAAACGGGGAACAAGCGAGAGAATAAATTTTATTTTCGCCAGCGTCTGTTTGTTATCGCAAAGAAAAACAATAATAGTTCAACTTGTGTATAGGTCAAGTTCATTGGATTTGTTCGTATTTCTTTTTTTCTGATTCTGGTTATTGTTATTTTATTTGTTAGCCAACGTGTATTTCTGTCCATTTCAAAATGAATTTCGCCTTTTCCAAGTGCCAATTTCAAGTTCATTAATTCTGAATGTTACGTTTGAAATGTGATTACCACTTTTTTAAAGTGGAAATTTGATTACCAACCGTCACACACAAAAACAACAACAACCACCATCACCACAAATACCAACAACGCCACATCAAAGTCCATAAATATCAATTTCGGACTGAATGCACTTCGTATTCGGACCGTGTGTATGTGTGTGCACGATGAACACATAAAAAACACCAATAAACATTTTATTGATTTGGATCGGAGCAGTGAGCGTTAAAATGCGGTCGAAAATAAATCCGCCTTTGAATGGATTTGAACAAAAATAGCAAACAATTGTATCGGTTCGGATCGGTTCGGTTCGGTGCATTGCAATTAATCAATCGCTGGATTTGCTTGTAATCGCATAGATTATGACCTCATGAAAATAATTTCGAAATGAAACGAGAATGATAGTTGAAATAGTTTAAGCGGAAATGGATTACGATTGTTTTTATTTGATTTTTGGAAATTGAAGAGTATTTTGAATTGCAAAATAGTACAAATTATTTGTGTTTACACCTCCTTCTTTCTCATTGGATTCAACTGAATTTCAATATCGAATTTCAAAAGGCTGAATTTGAATAAGTTTCAATTTGAAAAGGAATACCCGTTCAATTATGCTCATGCCGAAATCGGTTTGGAAACGTGAATTGAAAAGCGTTGACAAAAGACGAACAGTGCACTCAATTAAATTAATGAAGCTGATTTTGTGAATTAATGCAGTCGAAACTATCTTTTGTCGTTGAAAACCGAAAATTCATTGAAAGCAAATGCATCGCGGGGAAAAAGTTTTACCAACGAAATGTTAGCGCTCACTATTGAACGGAAAAGCCCATTGACAAATATGCAACTTAATTAAATTAAAACGAGCATCGATGGCAATCGTTTATTCTGAGTAAGTAAGGAAAGAGTGAGCGACAGAAAAAATCATGCACACACAGAGAGAGGGAGAGAGAGAAGTAAAGAAGATGCGTTGCGAGCAGCAACGACAAAACATTCTCCCTCTCTGTCGGAAAAGTGCGCTGAACTTTCAAGACTTTGGTAAACATACACATACAGGGCCAAACACACAAAGAAAAACGAAAGAGCATCACAGGACAAATAAAAAGCGAGGGGATCTGCCAGACTTATCTTTGTTCATTTTCTCAATGGGAATTCAATACTTAAATTTGACGATAACATCAATGGATATATACTTTGTGCATTATTATACAATTTTCGACGATATGCGTTGAACCAGAAAAAGTAACGACATATCCAATTCGTCGACCGAAGAAAAACCCACGAAAGCACAAACACGTAGCTAGGGATGAGCGCACGATGTAGTAAGAGCCACCAAGAACGAAATCACACAAGCCAAATAGCAGCAACAATAACATGAACCATAACTGTACCAGAAGAGTGAAGCCGACGAAGAAAAGTAAGAATAAGAAGAGTCGATATTAAATTTAGCTATAAATGTGTATTTGAAAATGCTCGTTTTTGGGGCTGGCTCCATGACATTCATTTTATTTCCAACGTTACCGTTTCTTTCGATGGTAAAGTGTGTGTCAGCACGCGTCAATGAATGTCATTGTTGTTTGGCACTGGTTTCGTTCCTTTTTCACTTTTCGGATGTTCGCAAATATGTACAAAGTACATTCAATTTGATAGACTGCCTTTTCGCTTACTCTTCGGATTCGGATTTTTTTTTTATTTTTCTTTGCTTTCTTGTTCAAGTTTTTCGTTTCGTTTTTGCGTGTGTACGGTGATCGAGCGTGTGAACATCACCTTTTTGTACACGAGCGCAAAACGATGGAATTTATTGTTTTGGTAGACATTTTTATGCGACAAATTCAGTTGCAACAAGAATGCATGACACATTTCTGACAACAATAAATGAAAATGGCGAGACATCAACAATGCCATTGTGTCAGCAAAGTGTGAGCGAGAGAGAGAGAGAGAGAGAGAGAGAGAGAGAGAGAGAGAGAGAGAGAGTGAGAGTGAGAGTGAGAGAGACATGAGAAACGGAGCAGGAGAGTTCTTTTGACATATTTCGTGTTTTTTTAATTCATTTGTCAGGCATCAAATTACACTCGTTCATTAAGCGAAATCATATCAGAACACATGCGAACAGTTCAATGAATTTTTGCTCGTTTGGTTCTTGCAATATTTCGGCACTTTTTCGCTAAATACCTGAACCTTTTCTAGTGCTTGGTGTACTCTTTTTTCCCGCTCTTCAGCGTTTGAATAGTCCAAGAATGGGGAAAAGTAGAATCATAAAAAATACTGGATGCCAACGCATCGAGGGTTGGTCGCATTGCCAGCCAATGCAACCATGGCTCATGTGACCTGAATTTTTATTAACATCAAAAGTGAACCTTCCGATTTGTGTGCTTTCTTCTCTTCATTTCTTCGCTCTTTTTTCCATTTTTTACTATGGTTTTTTCCCCCATTTATTTCTTTGCAACTGATGCGCATGTAATTCACCAACCGATATTAAAATTTATGAAATTAAAAAACTTTCGCTCCTTGAAAGTTTCCGAGCAGACAACACACACACACACACACAGTGTATCAATGCAGATTTGCCCAACACACACACTCACTCACTCACTCACAGTTTGTCTCGTTGAAATCAAGTTAATACAAACACTTTCTTTTCTCACACGCTCTCTCTCTCTCTCTCTCTCTCTCTCCGCTAACATCTCTATTTGATTCAATTAAATGTCACGAAGCTTAAGCGAATAACCAACTGAAGTGGGTTCTATTTAGATTGACTTTGCTGTTAGTTTAGACACGATTTGCTCGCACTTCAAATGCCATTCGATGTGCAACAAAGCGATTTCATGGAACACCCTATGAATCGTCTCGTCCTTAGCGTGCACTTTTTTCGCTCTCTTACTCCTTTTTTTCTTACTTAACTCAAGTATTTTGAGCTGACCATATTTTACTGTACGATTTTTGCTCAAATGATTTTTTTTCCGACAGGTGAAATCGACAGACTACGTTTCTTATTTGCTGAGAAAAAAAGCAAAACGAAAGATGCAACTCATTGGAATAATCGAAGCAAATATGCGATTCAAAGTGTATTTAAAGAAATTCTTTGCTATACAATAAAATATAAGTTGTCCATGATCTATGTCGATTTTCGTCGCAATATATGCATCATCCAAAACTATACGTTTCCATCACCCATTGATGCGAACGAACCATTTTTCTTATTCTTTCTTTTTCTCTGTCTCTTGATTCTTTCTCGATGTAAACTCACTCAACAGTTTAATTTATATTTCATTTGGACCAGATTCCATGTTTTGAGCATCATGTTCATTCATTATTATAGCTCTTGGAATTTGAAATATTTTGACTTATTGGTAAAGTTTCATGTTCCATAATGGAGAGACGAACAAGATGGCAAAAAAGCAAAATGTCCCGCATATAAGTTGTCCATGATCTATGTCGATTTTCGTCGCAATATATGCATCATCCAAAACTATACGTTTCCATCACCCGGAGCGCTGTTGCCATTTCATGTTCGACCATCTCTAATATTCCCCGCTACATGGCAGATAAATGAAATGATGCATAAATATTAAATTGTATCACATTTGGGGAGAAGTTTTCAGGGAAAACTACACACAACTTACAATTTGCGAAGAAAAAAACATATCAACTCACCTGTTCCGTTTCGCCACTGGACAATTACTCAATGTCATACATCATACATGACGAGCATAGATGCGACGCAAAGAATTATCCCACCTTCATGTGCTGTTGATTGGACATTACTCCCTGCATATTTGGATCGGTTTCACAGAGTAACACCTTACGTTTTGCCCCGAGACATGCTTATATCAGATTAAACACAATTCTTGATCTACCTCGTGCCCATTAAGTCACATTTTTTTGCCATACAGAAATCATCTTCTCTGTAAAGTTCTACTTATAGAGCTTCAAAAGACATAGTTTGCACTACAGAGGATTAAATTTTCTTAGAAAATTCCCCCATCTTTTACCACATTTTTAATTAACTCACTCCCTGGCTGACCACACTTCGTATCAAATTTATTTGCCATCAATCATTTTTAGCTCGGCAATTGAATAACCAACTTTTATTGATTCAATGCCCTCCTATCGTAACAAAAGTTTGAATGTTGTTATACAATTAATAGTTTCTAATTGATAAAACTCAATAAATGCAAATTAAAATCGAATTTCATAACATTCGCATCGAAATGAAGGACATAAAAGTTTCAAACGGTCTTGAGATTTGATTAAACTCCATTTTACACTTCATCAAGAGATGAACGACTTTGGAAAATCTTGTATAAGTGGTCAAACATCGATCAGACACAACAACCAAAGAAAGTTGGCAGAAATTAAACTAAGTTTATCAACGAAAGTTTATAATTTTTCTTTTTTTTTTCAATGTCTTATTTGAGCTTCGAGCATAACTTGGAGCAAGCCAAGTTATTTTGTCATGAAGAAAGTGTGGAAATAAT